CACATGTTGCATCGCTAGTATACAATTTAATTATTAGCTATAAACCTCTGAGATCCTAAGATGGTAGCTTTGTTAATTCAGTGTGACATTGCAACAGCACTAAGACAGATTCCAAGATTCCCACCATCAATATGCATTATACAAATTTGTTAACTTGCACTAACATAAACCTTTTATGTACAAAATTATGACTTTACACTTCAAACTTTTCTCTCTGTGTCAATCAAGATTAGTTTCACCTGTATAGAAGAAAAAACCAATATAATAATGCACTAAACAATATGGAGGTTTATTAAATTCATGGGTAGGCCGTCATGGGCTGGCATCACACTCTCCTAATGTCATCAGGGATATGGGCTCCTTTCCATCTTTCCTCTCCACCACATGGCCTCCGCCAAGGCCAAATCTTAGTTTTAGTTTGGTTGCTGTAGCACTCACCATCAAATCCATGTTTTAGGCAGGAAAAAAAAAAAAAATAGTTGGGGGGTGGCAGGGGGGCAAGGGCAAAAGAGTCAGTTCCAAGAAAGAGCTTTCCTAGAAACTGCTCTCAAAATTTCCATCCACATCTCACCAGCTACACCTAGGTATAAGAAGGTTGATCAATTTCGTCTCATAGAAGGGTGCATTGTGGCACCTACAACTATACCTTAGTTCTGCTGCTAAGGAATAAGCGGGTGGATATCAGGTTGACAGTCTTTGTCACACTTAAAAAAAAATCTTTTCCATGTGTTCCTAGAATGTTGTGATCACTCATTTTGATTCAAAATTAAAATTTTTTCATTCAAAATTAAAATTTAAAGCAATTTTCAGAGATTTGTCGCAATCAATCTAGTGAGTTAACATTTACAGTATCATTCACTATTACAACAAATACTTTTGCACCTTCTCTGTATCAGGCGCGTTGATAAAAAAGGGATGGGATGCAATAATGAACACATCTCCACTTTTTCAGAGCTCGCAGTTTATCAGCTCAGTAAAAGTATGATGTGCTAATATATTATAAAAGACACCCATTTAGAATGGATTACCCTCTATACATAGTATTTAGGTAATCAACTACATATACTATTTTTTCTTTTTTCGAGACAGAGTCTTGCTTTTGTCGTGCATGCTGGAGTGCAGTGGCGCAATCTCAGCTCACTGGAACCTCCGCCTCCCGGGTTCAACCGATTCTCCTGCCTCAGCCTCCCAAGTAGCTGGGATTACAGGTACTCACCATCAAGCCCGGCTAATTTTTGTATTTTTAGTAGAGATGGAGTTGCACCCTGTTGGCAAGGCTGGTCTTGATAAAACTCCTGACCTCAGGTGATCTGCCTGCCTCAGCCTCCCAAAGTACTGAGATTACAGGCGTGAGCTACAGCGCCCGGCCACATATACTATTTTAGCATAAAAATATCCTTTCATTTATCAGATGAATAATTCCATTGTTTTGAGATGCTGATACAAACTTGAAAACAAATTTTAGATGTTACTGTCATGCAAAGCATTCTTGTAAAAAAATATAGCTTTGCTCCAATAATAAAATTTCAAGTGAATATATTAATATGGCTCTTGCAAATAGAATACTTAAAAACATAGTTAAATCCACATTTTCCAGAATTTTTAATCAGAAAGGAGATAACAAATGAAACACAGACAAATTGAACAATAAAGAAAAACTGTAAATATTTGGTTGTATTTTTCAGGTAAAAATTAAACTAAGAGAATACCGCCTTGCAGATGATGGGGCTTTGTTCAACTCCCTGGTGATTTCTTTTCTTTTCCTTTTTTTTTTTTTTTTTTTTTTTT